TTCGTTGGAGTGCCAACAAAATTCTTAGTCATAGACTGAGAGGTCCCGAGTATGGGCGCAACTCGTAGTTCACTAGCATTCCGCATCACCTCTGACTTGTGTGTTGAGACACGAGAATCTGCCCAATACGAACAACTGGGGACCAATGTAGTCACAGACCCCTCTCCACCATTGACACATGTCCGATCCAGAAAAGTGCAAATGAGGAAGTGAACATCCCCCTCCACATACACTCTCGATTTATTGCCCATAAAAGCCTCACGCAGGCAACTGATCATATGCCCACACCAGTTGTACTTTGTAAACTCGTCAACTACATGTCCCCTCATAAATCCCAAGTACTGATGACGAACCCGCATTCCACTATTGGGGTCTAGCAAATATCCAATTGTCATGAGGATGCACATTTGCACCCACGATTGGTCATCATGAGTCCTATTCATAGCTTCTTTCAACTTCATCAACCTCACCTTATCTGGGCCGACACGACATATGCCAGACGTTCTGCCCACTTATTAGAGGTAGGCGCTTGAAAGAAATCAAGTTGAAGAGAATTAGTACCCCGAGACAACCCATAAACGCGTGCAATATCAGACTCTGTGATGCGTAAACTCTGCCCGCCTGCATACTGAAAGACATATTCTGGTGATCGAAATGTTGTGCAATCATCCTCAAGTAATCCTGATCAATGTTGTGCATCGCCAAATTCAACACAAAACCAAACCCATACCCCTGGATTAGAGCAGCTCGAGCAGGAGAAATATTTTCCACCATCTTTATAACCTGAGACATACTACATCTGTGGCTGAGTCTATCTCCATTATTTTCATCTGACCCGATCAGCCTTTTCTCATATGTTTCTTTGTGCCACATTAATGAAACTGGACTTATTATCGGTTAATAACAAATACATTTTACAATAAAAATGATGGCTGAAAATGTTAATGACACATTCAATTTATATAAAATAAGTTCGTGATTTAATTAAAATGCTATTAATAAAAATATAAGAACTACTACCCACGTTAATGACCTAAACCATTTCGGTTAACGATGACGAAACATACCTTCAATAACATATATAATTTAATTTAATACCCACACATAAAAAGCCACATACCACGTTACAGCTACCGTGCTGCCGCGAAGCTACGGGGTATGAACGTGAGATGGAGATCGCCGTGGGCAGGTGGTCGGGATAAACTCCTCAAAGCTCCTCGACCAAACCTGCAAAAATAGCCGCTGGGTTTGAGAACACAAGAAAACCACCACAAAACTACGTTTAAACAACTAAACATAGAGAATATAAACGGCAACAAAGGATACAAACCGTCGTGAAAGTGTAATGGTATGAAAAACACGAATGGTCGATGATATAAAGAACGTCTAGGAAGGAAACCCTGGGACATCACCGGGAATAACCAAACCGGAACAATCACCACGAGATGGTCAATGCTTGGTCGCCGCCGGAAGCAGGGTCCGTGTCGCCGGCCGTGGGCAGCAGTTCGTAACAGAACCAGACACCCTAGAGTGAAACTAAAACCCTATCGCATGCTACGTAAGTAAACAGCTTATCATTAATAAAAATACAATCATTAATTAATTTAAAATTCCTAATACCAACACTACCCTTACCTACCTAAAAACGGCTTAACAACCAATAACTAATTACGATTGATCTGATGGCCGAAAATCACTTAAGGAACTCCTTAAGGATTTGTCCTCAAGGACCTAAACCCATTCGCTAATTGTTGGATCGTGTATTGAGCAATTTATAACTGTTAGATGAATGCGATGACAATTCATTTACAAAATTGCTATCATGTTCATCCAACAATTACAACCAGGCGTCCAATAAGCTATTCAACGATGGTACGCCGCTATAAAGTATAAACAAGTTCTCACCTTTTTTTTATAGACAAGTTGTAACATCCCGAACCTTTTTCCGAAAAGATATTGTCCGCTTTGGGCCTCTACACCCGCACGGATTTGCCTTGGGGTGCATATCAAGGTGTTTCCTCGGGAACACCAAATGCCACCGCCGGTGCCGAATTTGTTTTCCGGCGATGTTGATTTGATGTTTCGCGGTGGAAACCCTTGCGGTGTCGTTTGATCGAATGCACCGCTGATTGCTGAAATCGAGACGACCGTCAAATATCCGCCGCCGAATGTCGGCGTCGTTGATTTGATCGATGCACCTCTAAATGGTGAAATCAATGTGACCGTCAAATATCCACCGCCGGGCGGTGTTGATTTGATCGATGCACCTCTGACTTCTAACCAAGAACGAACGTTACTACGGTTCACACCTCTCCAAACTACGTACGAACGAGGGTGTTTGAGTTTTGAGGAATCTATGCTACCGCTACTCCTATGGATATTCCTGTGGAGAGCTCCGCGACTAACACTAAGACTACAACTATGGAGATCCTTCCTGGAAGGAGAGCTCCGCGAAGAAGTTACAGAGAAAAAGTAAAGTTTTGACAGAGTTGTTCTGTGTTGATTTTTGGTTGTCCTCCTTCTTTCTCTTTGCTCCACTGCTTTTATTCGAAAAACTGCTTCATAGTCTTCACGCTCGGTGGAACCGCTTCCTCAACTGCTCCGTTGTGAACTCCCACGTGTCTCAACCGTCTTGATCTCCTCCTCGCTCTGGTTGGTGTGAATCTCACGCGACGTCGTTTTCTCCTCCAAACAGCTCTGTTTGGCTTTTTACTTCGCGACATTGTTTTATATTAAACAGTGTCGTTTTAACTACTGCGGCATTGTTGGGCTTACTCGCAGTATCGTTTTTAACTAAACGACACCGTCCAAAATAATAATAATAAAAAATATCAATTTATTTAACCAGGGAGACTTTGCACTCGCGTTGGACTTGGCGGATTTTGGCCCAATCACTTACCCGATATGGTTTTTAATTAACCGACATCGCTTACCAAGGCTTTTCGCGGTATCATTTTCTAATCCGCGGTGTCGTTGGGTTTACTTGTGGTGTTGTTTTTAGCCAAACGACACTGTTTCCCAGTCTCGCGATGCCGTTGAGCTTTGAGGTTCGCGGCACCGTTTTATCCCTCCTCCGACGAGGAAAAAACAAAAACATTCCTTTTCCAATAACAACACCAACAGGCCGAGTGAATCCGACATTGTTTTTCCCTAAACAATGTCGTTTTAAATACCGCGGTATTGTTGAGCTTCCTTGCGGTGTCGTTTTAACTCTCCGTGATGTCACTTGTCTCCATGCGGTACCGCTTCTCCCCTTCCGACAAGGAATAAAAATAATAATTAATTCAAATAACTCCTTTTCCAACACCACTACTAAACGCCACCCACATCTTATTTATCGGTGTCGTTTCCAGTACCGCGGTACCGCTGAGCTTCCTTGCGGTACCGGTTTGTTTTTAACTCTCCGCGATGTCGCTCAACTCCCAACGACACCGTTTTTTTATCCGCGGTATCGAATTAAATGCCCAACGACATTTAATTCAGGCCAAAATAATTTTAGGTGTCAACAATGCCCCCCACAACTTGGTTTATAAGAATTTATGAACCAAGTTATTGATCCAACTTATATCACCTAAAATTTCATAACAATTAATTCAACTTTGCCAAGACAATACCAAGTTTGGCCAAAGATGAATAGGAAAAACCATGAAAACGGCCTTGTAATGCAAACACTGGAGCATTTAACTGTTCTTTTTTTTTTTTAAGAAGCCAATTTCTTGTGGCTTTAATCAATCTCCCCAGCTATGCGGCATAACCCCGAAATAAAAAGAAAAAAAACCATCTCATTTAACTCCATAACATAGATTTGTATTTATGGTTTTTTTTCTCAATAGAGATGTTTTATACTTATCTTTGCTTGCACCGCTGCCGCAACAGATATGCCATGATCCTTTCTTCTTAAAACAAAAAATAATTGGTGTGGCTTCCTCTCCCGCAAACCTGTTCAAAATAAAAGAAGAAACACCAATACAAGACAGCAGTTGCGAACCTAAACCCGCACTGCTCGTTGAGCCAAAACGACATGGCTTCATCCTTTTCCTTTTTTACTCCACCCTTGTCAAGCAATCTTGCTTTTGTTAAACTTCCATGCGGCCAGACCTTGCAATGCTGCGGCGGCAAAAACAACTTTGTTTGGCCATCTTTCCTTTTCATAAAAAAAATATATATATATCGGGCACCGCCTGGCCTTGGACACAACTGACAATAATATAATTAATTAGCAATGGCCAATAAGTCCGCATTGCCACAACAACTTTCGTAGCATTGTTTAGCTCAAAATCTCAAACTTTTGTTCCACGGAAATCCCCTTTGGTGGGCTTGCTAAACAAGTAAACATCGATGTTGGGTGCCTCAACAATCAGCATTGCTATTATTATCCTTAATTGGCCGCAAAGCTGTACGACTCTTCTCAACCTTGCCACGTTTCTTCCGCCAACATGGCCAAAATTCAATGCCGATGGAAACTGAGCATAAAATTACAGCAACACTGCGAACCCTAGCGCTGTTGAAGGCCAACATTGATTCTTCGTCGTGATCATGTATTAATTTGGCCACGTTTCTTCCTTCTTTTTTTATTAATTAAAGCCAACAGCTTTGGCTTTTATTATTATCCCTTAACAGCTTTGTTACCCCAAGTCCCAACGGCGCTGTTCAACTCGTTAACACCACACTGCGGCCAACAACGCAGGTTTGGCCCAACTCTGTTTCCTTCTCCAACAAGGAGAGCTCGATCCCAACAATGTTGTTTTCCTCCCACACAGCTCTAATTTTCTTCTTTTCCTCGAACATTGCGGCTAGCTTTCCAGAACTCTTGGACTCTTTTTTTTTTTTTCAGCGTTGTGTTTCTCTCAACGGTGTTGAGAAAATAGATAACAACATCGTTGATCATCTCGAACTATTGCCAACAACATTGTGGCTTCTTCTTAGCAATGCCGCTTGATTATATATTTTATTATAATAATAATTATTTTCTTTTGTTTATATATATTTATCACATGGCCTAAATTAGCCAAATTTTATTATTTTTAATATAGCTAAACAAAAATATGGTTGGCTTTGGCATAAACCATCATGCCAAAGGTCCACACCCACTGCCAACTACACGGATCAAACCACACAAGTCATCCATAAAGTCCACAACTCACCACAGTTGGCTTTACACACGTTGGTTTTGATCTTTTGGAATCAATGTTGGCTTGCAACTCTCCAGTTCGTCTAGCTCGAACATCTTTGTTCGAAATCCCACGAGCTCGATTTGGCTTCACCTCAGCCATCACTTTTGGTCGATGGCATGAAAAATCACTAGTGTTCTTTGCTCTCGACAAGACATTCACATTTTTTGGCAGCTTCGTCTTGCCAAGTCGACCATGCCGCATTGCCTGCTCAGACTGGTCTGGTTTTGTCAGTTGTACACTCTCCCAATGTTGTTGGGAGTTTGAGCGCCGATACTTACGAGCTCCATCAACACGTGTGTTGGTATTTTGTTTACCACGACCATGATCTTTGCACTTATCACACAACAACTTCGCATCTTTTGAACTCTTACGTGAGACTGGAGTTTGTTGGCCATGGTACTTGCCCCCCAATCCGCCACTCATGGCAGACTTGTTCCTCATAAGCACTGGTGTGGCAACTCCACGTCGGGCTTGCTTGAACTTGCCCCCCTTTTCACTAGGTGGAGTCTTTGGGGACAACTTACATGGAGGATTCTGTTGATTCATACCAACCCTTGCAGGATTGGTTTTATTCACGTGGTCACCACCTCCATCTTGAATGGTGTCTATGGTGACCCTAGCTCGATTTTTCTTAGAACAAGGTGGATGTGGCAAACTTATTTGCCACTTACGGTGTTGTTTATCCTTCAATCTACCGAGCTGGGATGGCATGCCCCCTAGCGGCTTAGATTGAACAATGTTGTAAAATTTGTCATCTTTCAAGATATCACACTTGTTCTTCCTAATTTCTTGAAACTTATTATAAATACGTTTAAATTTTGTTCTTTGTTGTGGCTTTCGCAAGACAGCTCTAACTTTCTTGTCCTTCAAAACAATAGTGTTCACAGGAGAACCAACATGAGATTTGCTGGCCCCTGACGCCACTGTTTTAGCCATAAGTTTAAGTGAATCCTTATTGGCGATACTGGAAACATGTTCATCTATCATCTCAAAAAATTTATCCATATGTCTTCCAAGAGAATCACAAGGCTTATTTAAAGAGATAAAATAGAGATTTACCTGCCGGTAATACTCCTCTACAGATCGACGAAGATACAGAAGTGCAACATGCCCATCGATGCTCGACATGGATTGAGGCCACTCCTTCATCCAACCGATGTGTCTATCTGCCTCCTCTGCTCGGCCAACTCCACCTTCACAGATTCTTGTGGAAGATCAACGTTGTGTTTTTCATGCCGCAAAGCCATATTTCACTTCAAACACACGTGTCCCACCAGGTGTGCCAAATTGTTTCCTCGGGAAAACCAAATGCCACCGCCAGCGCCGAATTCGTTTTCCGGCGATGTTGATTTGATGTTTCGCGGTGGAAACCCTTACGGTGCCGTTTGATCGAATGCACCGCTGATTGCTGAAATCGAGACGACCGTCAAATATCCGCCGCCAAATGTCGGCGTCGTTGATTTGATCGATGCACCTCTAAATGGTGAAATCAACGTGACCGTCAAATATCCACCGCCGGGCGGTGTTGATTTGATCGATGCACCTCTGACTTCTAACCAAGAACGACCGTTACTACGGTTCGCACCTCTTCAAACTACGTTCGAACGAGGGTGTTTGAGTTTTGAGGAATCTACGCTACCGCTACTCCTATGGAGATTCCTGTGGAGAGCTCCGTGACTACGACTAAGACTACAACTATGGAGATCCTTCCTGGAAGGAGAGCTCCACGAAGGAGTTACAGAGAAAAGGTAAAGTTTTGAAAGAGTTGTTCTGTGTTGATTTTTGGTTGTCCTCCTTCTTTTTCTTTGCTCCGCTGCTTTTATTCGAAAAACTGCTTCGTAGTCTTCACGCTCGGTGGAACCGCTTCCTCAACTGCTCCGTTGTGAACTCCCACGTGTCTCAACCGTCTTGATCTCCTCCTCGCTCTGGTTGGTGTGAATCTCACGCGACGTCGTTTTCTCCTCCTAACAGCTCTGTTTGGCTTTTTACTTCGCGACATTGTTTTATATTAAACAGTGTCGTTTTAACTACTGCGGCATTGTTGGGCTTACTCGCGGTATCGTTTTTAACTAAACGACACCGTCCAAAATAATAATAATAAAAAATATCAATTTATTTAACCAGGGAGACTTTGCATTCGCGTTGGACTTGGCGGATTTTGGCCCAAGCACTTACCCGATATGGTTTTTAATTAACCGACATCGCTTACCAAAGCTTCTCGCGGTATCGTTTTCTAATCCGCGGTGTCGTTGGGTTTACTTGCGGTGTTGATTTTAGCCAAACGACACTGTTTCCCAGTCTCGCGATGCTGTTGAGCTTTGAGGTTCGCGGCACCGTTTTATCCCTCCTCCGACGAGGAAAAAACAAAAACATTCCTTTTCCAATAACAACACCAACAGGCCGAGTGAATCCAACATTGTTTTTCCCTAAACAATGTCGTTTTAAATACCGCGGTGTTGTTGAGCTTCCTTGCGGTGTCGTTTTAACTCTCCGTGATGTCACTTGTCTCCATGCGGTACCGCTTCTCCCCTTTCGACAAGGAATAAAAATAATAATTAATTCAAATAACTCCTTTTTCCAACACCACTACTAAACGCAGCCCACATCTTATTTATCGGTGTCGTTTCCAGTACCGCGGTACCGCTGAGCTTCCTTGCGGTACCGGTTTGTTTTTAACTCTCCGCGATGTCGCTCAACTCCCAACGACACCGTTTTTTTATCCGTGGTATCGAATTAAATGCCCAACGATATTTAATTCAGGCCAAAATAATTTTAGGTGTCAACACAAGGTGAGTTCCCAGTTCCCATAAGGTCACACATCCTTGCAGTGCTCCACCCTGAGCACGTTTAACTTTGGAGTTCTCACAAGAACTCCTTCATTTCACTCCAAAACGCGTCTTGCTAGTTAATGTCGATTTTTTACTTATGAACCATGAATCTCTCCCTTGCTTTGTCGAAGTGAGATTCGCCTAAAGTGTTACCCAAGTTATCACCTATTTGGCTGCAAAATAACCGGTACAAAGATATACCTTATTGCTATTGTAATAAATCTCTTTCGAAAATTATAAAAAAAATTCTTTCGATAGAGTAACAAAAAGCTTTCTTTCAATAAGAGGTTTCACAATAAAAAGCAATTCATTTTCACTTGAAAAGGGAACCCTTGGCCTTGCTGTCGGGCGTCGGCTGTCGCTACTCGCTAGTTTGGCAAAATTTGAAACAGAAAAGAGACCTGCCCGACAGCCGTCGTATCCTTTCGGCGGGAACTCTCTTCTCGGCAGGACTAGTAAACTGGCCGAGCATTTAGTGGCGGGAAGAATATCTGATCCACAAACTTTCCTTCCCCATTCGAGGAAATGAGCAATAGAAGATTAACAACACTATTACAGCCGAGCGCCACGAACCCTAATAATCCACCTAAGGACGGCGACGAGACAGCTACTCCCTTCAAGAAGCAAACCCTCGATCTGGGAAATGGAAGCGAAATCATCTATTTCCCGCGATGCTTACCGGTGGATGATTCCTGGGAGCTGTTCGATTATCTCGACACTCAGATCCCTTGGACCCGACCCACTGTCAGAGTCTTCGGTCGCTCCTGCCTCCAGGTAGGTCCTTTTACCGTCAGTATATAATCAATTATCAATCCTCTTCATCATTTCTATCAGTCAAAGTTGCTTGCTTGCTTGTTTTTCTTGATGGGTTTTGTTGGGATTCTGCAAATTCCGTTCAAATTTGGGAATGGGGGGAAGTTTGAATCTCTGGTACTCATTTGGTCGACAATGATGGAGCAATCTAAAGTCATATGGGCAGCAATATTTCAAAAAGTTGCTCCAAACTGTGAATTAAAATTATAAAGGTATTACTTCTTACTTAGGGTTTGGGAAGCACACCCTGAATTTTTTTAAGTTGAGGAACCGAGTGGTGGGAATTGGCTAGTTGTAATGCCATAAGATCTGTAAGTGGTTGCTGGTTCCTTAACTTTCAAGCTATGAACACGTTATTAGCTGCTTCTTACCCCACTGGAATTTCTCTGTTCACTTTGCAGCCTAGGGAGACATGTTATATTGCGAGTTCAGGACTGCCACAACTGTCCTACAGTGGGTATAAACCACAGCCCTATTCTTGGGACGACTACCCTCCTCTCAAGAACATCTTAGAAGCTGTGAGTAAAAGACAACTCCTCTTTCCCCCCATTTTGCATAAGCATTGTGTTCATTGCTTCACAAAAACTATCTGATTTCTTTCAAATCTATTACCTTCCATAAAGGTTCACAAGGCACTTCCAGGTAGCAAGTTCAATAGCTTGCTCTTGAATAAGTACAAAGGTGGGAATGACAATGTTGGTTGGCACGCTGACGACGAGAAGCTCTATGGACCAACTCCAGAAATCGCGTCGGTTTCATTTGGGTGTGAAAGGGAGTTCTTACTGAAGAAGAGACCCAGTAAACCCTACTCCAAAGGTAACTGCGGCTAGTAATATAGTTCCATGTTCTTCAATGTCTGTTTCGTGGTTGTGGATAAAAAAGCTACTGTCTTTCCTTAATAGTTCACCGGAAATCTGAAGATGAGGAGCCTGCTAAGAAGCGAATGAAGAAGAGTGATCAACATTCGTTCATGCTGAAGCACGGATCGCTGCTGGTGATGAGAGGTTACACTCAAAGGGATTGGCTTCACTCTGTGCCTAAGCGCGCTAAAATAGAAGCGACACGAATCAACTTGACCTTTAGGCTAGTCCTCTAAACAACCCTGGTGTACAATGCATCATGTGATCAACAAGAAGACTTGATGAATTTGTTCCTTCAGAATGAAGCATCTGATGTCTGTTACAGTTTTTCTGCCTATGTTTGATGGCCATGATCAAACCCTAGTTGAGGATCAATTGTACACCGAACACTAACAGAGCCCTTGTTCCTATTCTTTTCCTTTTGGCGTATGGACCGGAGTCACTGCCTCAATCTATTCGATGATTGGAGAGAGCTAGCATGCTGCTGAAATGGAGACACTCGGCAACAAGCATTGTGGAATGTGCTAAGACGATCATATGCTTGAAATGAGTGGTCGAGGATATGAATATATGTGCATGCAAGTTTCATGTTTTGAATGATGGCGAAGGAACTTGCCATAGAGAGGTATAAGTTGCTATATGTGCAAAGTTAGGCTTTCAAAATTAGAATGTTATGAAGCGGGAATGTAATCTAGTAGTATACTACTGAGTTTTGTGCTGTGTTCTGGATTTTTTTTTTTTAATTGGGAATGTCAAAGAAAGAAAACAACCAACTAGTAAAATCCCTTCCCTCCTTACACTTTTTTTTATTGAAATATGCTCTCGGCTTTTATTACGTTACTACATTTAAGTAATAAGCTGATCAATCAGATTCAGCGGGGGCCTATCAAACCAAATATCCGCTTCCTCCCATCTAGTCTTCGTGTGTGCTATAATATGTGTCGCCTCATTTGCTCTCCTGCTAACAAGGCAAAGTTGTTTGTTTCCCAAATAAGCTAATAGTTGTTGTATACTTCTGTATATTACTCCTAGCTTTGTTCGGTCCTCCGTCGACATCCAGACGTTGTTCACCACTTTCACGCAATCGGACTCCACCATCGACGAGACGAAATGATGTTGGCGCGCAAGTTGTAGTTCAAACTCAACCGCCATTGCCTCCCCCAATGTCGGATCCTGGATATCTCGTACATTCTTCGTTGTTGCCATAATGAACTTCCCCTGGTGATCACGAACCACCACTACCAATCCAAGCCCTTCCGCTCCAATCCCAGCATCAGTATAAATTTTGAACCTTCCTTCCTTCGGTCGAGTCCACCTATGATTTGCCGACGCCATTGGCTGCGCCTCATCCTTCACCTGGTATTGTTATACTCTTCCGGAAAGGAGACATCCCTTGGGACAACATCCGCCTCCTCTATCCTTTGTCCATTAAAGAGATGAGCATTCCTCTCCTTCCATAAAAACCATAACAAGACAACCCAGTCATCAACCTCAGTTTTCGATACCTCCTTAATAACACTTTGTACCAATTCCATGCAATTTGTACCATCTCGACGTTTGAAACAATGAGCCACCGTCGACTGCCTCCATAACCTGCTTGTCTACATGCACTCATGAAACAGATGTACTTGTGATAGACCGTCATTTACACATGTTTTTACCCCCGTTCTTACACCGTTTGAGGTGTTGATTCTCGTGTTTTAGGCCGATTTCACGCTAGGTTGTGCTTGTTTGTGATATTTCAGGTCCTAGTACGTGAATGAAGGCTTAGGAGCGAGTCTGGGGTCGATTGAACGAAGAACGGACGAATGGCGAGGTTTTTGGGGAGCTGCACGGGCAGACCAGGGAGGCTGCACGGCCGTGCACGGTTGCAAGCTGGCCGTGCGCCTCATGCCGAGGAGCTGCACGGGCAGGCCCTGAAGATTGCACGGCCGTGCACCTGGCCGTGCAAGAAGCCTGAGTTCGACTTAAGGGATACGCTGCGTTTCATGCTGCACGGCCAGAATGGTGAGGTGCACGGCCGTGCACGCTGGCCGTGCAACTCGGGGAAACCCGGTTTTAAAGCCTAATCCGAGCCAGAAGTGAGAGAACAGTGTTTTCAGAGCAAAAACAGAGCCCTAGAGAGAGAAAGTACGAAGAACACATCCTAGAAGCTGTCTTAGAGCTGGATTTCATCGAATCGAGCCTGGAGATCGTCATAGGAGTGAAAATCATCGTCCCGGAGCAGATTATCCTCATCGTTATGAGTATGACTAATCCGATTCTTGTTTTCTCTTCTCTCTCTATGGAGTAGAACCCTTCTCTCACTTGGGGATGAAGAACCCTAGTTCTATGTGTTAGGGATTGATTGTAATGACTTGGGATGATATTACTGTTTGGTTTTAATCGATTGAGACATGCTTTATTGAGTCAATTGAATCTTGATCAAATTCTCTTGATTTCTGCTTTAACCTATGATAGATAGAATCTGATTAGGTTAAGAGAGCTTCCTTGATTGATAGTGGTGAATTGGTTGTGCGAGAGTCAATCAATTTACTGCTTTGTACTGGAATCTAATTCCAGTAGTGAATTTCTGTTCTTACTGCTTCAGCTTTCTATCCCGGTGAAGACTAGTCGTCTGCCGGGTAGTTAGACTGAGAGGGCTTGGTCAGCTTAAGAGATTCCAAGCTACTGCCGGATCTTCCGCAGTCTAATCAACAGTAAATCAACCCAGGGTAAATTGCAATTGAACCTAACTAAGGAACTAGGGGGATTCATTCCCGAGTGACTCTTTCCTGCTTAAGAAAACCGAATAATTTCCTGCTTTATTTCTGCTTTTAGTTTAAACAACAATCACTTACTCTAGTTGGCTAGATAACAGAGAATCACTGAGTAAGCAGTAGATCTAGACCCCGGGTTGATAATATAACTTGCCTGTTACTGCATTCCCGGTCTGCGATTACACTTGGTCGCAGAATGGTGTTGTGTTTTGGCGTGTCAAGTTTTTGGCGCCGTTGCCGGGGACCCTCTAGGTTATTGGGGAAACGTGAGAATTTGTTACTCTAGCTTTTATTTTCTGCTTTTTATTTCTTCCACCTGTGTACCTTCACGGGTTGTTTCTGCTGATTGTGTGCAGGTAGTGCATGACCCGTAGCCAGTCGGGAGATCTACTACCACTAGACCAGGAGCTTGAACGAACCTGCAGAAACTTCAAGCGGGCTCTAAAGGCGCGACTGGCTGCGGAGGAGGTGCTATCACAGCTGCAGTTAGAGGAGGAAGAAGAAGAGATGGCTGAACCAGGGAACCATGATATGATCCCTGAGGAGCAAACCATGGGATCCTACTGGACCGCTAGAGCTGCGGACATGAGGTCACCCATTCAGCATCCTCATGTCCCAGCCAACAATTTTGAGGTGAGCACCTCAGTAATCACCATGCTGCGCGGTTCAGTGGTGTTCCGTGGTAAGGAGGGAGAGTGCCCTCGATCACATCTCAGGCGATTCCACGAGCTCATCGATGGAATCAAGATCAATGGGGTACCAGCAGATGCCATCCAGCTGAGGTACTTCCCATTCACTCTGGAGGGGCAGGCCAAGGAGTGGCTAGACACTCGATCTCCGGGCTCCATCACCACGTTCGCCAACCTGGCGGACAAGTTCCTCACCCGCTACCATCCTCCATCCAAGACAGCTGACCTGCAGAAGCAAATTACACATTTTGCTCAGGATGAGGATGAGACCATCAGGGATGCATGGGAGAGGTACAACAGTCTTTTCCTCAGGTGTCCCAATCATGGTTTCAACGATGCGTTCAAGGTGGGCACCTTCTATCACGCCCTCTTCCCGGAGGACAAGCAGCTGATCGATTCGGTTTGTGGCGGGAACATGCTGACCAAAACCCCGCCACAGCTGAATCAACTCTTTGAAGAGATGGCGGAGAATGGTTATGATTGGGGCACTGCCAGGAGATCGACGAGAGCACCAGGCCGGGGTGTGCATGCTGTGGGCACCCAGTCATCCGATTTGGTGCAGGTAGTATCGAAGCTGGTCTCAGCTATCGATCGTTCCGGGATGATTCCAGGGACCGGACAGCAGCAGGCGATGCTCTGCCAGTGGTGCGAGAGCACCCATCATATGGTGGAAGACTGCCAGGCGATGAAGGAATCGACCACGCCCCAGGAGCAGGTGAACTTCATCAACAATGTCAGGCGCAATGACCCCTACAGCAACACGTACAATGAGGGGTGGCGCCAGCATCCTAACTTCTCCTGGACTGGGCCAAATCCCAGACCACCAGCTCCACAGGGACCACCGGGCTTCCAGAGGCCACCATATCAGCCCAGACAGGGGCAATTCCAGCAGCCAGGTGCAGCCCCTGCTGCCCCAGTGCAGAATGATCAGATGGCTGAACTGCGGGACTTGGTGGGTTCTCTTGCCAGTGTTAGTGCTCAGAAATTCAACACCTTTGAGCAATTCATGGAGAAGGCCTCGGGTCAACTCCTGGCTCTGGAAGCTGGTCAGAGGAATACACGGGCTGTTTTGCAGGATATCCAGACCCAGCTGGGGAGCGTGGCCCAGGCAGTGGCTCAAAGGGCTCCTGGTATTCTACCAGGGCAGACCATCCCTCACCCGCCGACCCCGAATGAGCGCTGCAATGCCATCATGACCAGGAGTGGCAAGATGACTGTTGATCCCCCTGCTCGGGAACCGGAGAAAGAAAGCCCTATCTTAGCGGCTCCAGCGGTTGAACAGGAAGTAGAGAAGGAAGTTGAGGTGCCTGCACCTAAACCGCAACCAGTAGTGAAGGAGTATGTCCCTAAACTCCCTTTCCCTACTCGGTTGCACAAAGACAGGCTGGAGGCAGAGTTCGAGAACTTCATGGCCATGCTTAAGAAGCTGAATGTCCAAGTGCCCTTCCTGGAGGCACTATCGCAAATGCCAAAGTATGCGAAGTTTCTGAAAGAGCTTCTCTCAAAGAAGCAGAAGCTGAGTGAGCTGGCCACGGTAGAGCTCAGCGAGGAATGCTCGGCTATTCTGCAAAACAAGCTTCCGCAGAAGAAGAAGGACCCAGGTAGTTTTACTATCCCGTGCTCTATTGATAAATTGCATGTAGAGAAGTCCTTGGCGGATTTAGGTGCTAGTATCAATGTTATTCCATATAAATTGTTCATGAAACTAGGCCTAGGTGAACCCCGTGCTACTAGGATGACCCTTCAATTAGCTGACAGATCTGTAGTGCATCCTAGGGGTATAGTGGAAGACCTTCTGGTCAAGATTGGCAAATTCACATATCCCGTGGATTTTGTTATCTTGGACATCAGTGAGGACACAGAAGTGCCTCTTATACTGGGAAGGCCTTTCCTGGCCACCGCCAAGGCTCTCATAGATGTGCATGATGGGACCTTAGTTTTGAGGGATGGCGAGGAGCGAATAACGTTTTCTGTTGCTGATAATATACCTGCTTCGTCACCTCTGCATGCTGTTTCTCACCAGGAGCACGAGTCTGTCGTGTATCCTTCTGTGCTGCCTATTTTGCAGGAACCGCTTCCCACACCTTCGCCGCCACTCCGGACCACTCCGTCACCCAAAGAACAGATCAAGGAGGAGTGGCGGCCGAAACTGCCGGCAGCTAAGCCTGCTCGAAAGGAAGCCGGAGACCACTATGAGCTGGTCCCGCCCCCTCCTTGGCCATCCGAGTATTCACTCGCTTGCATCCTACCGGATGGCCAAGTCGAGCTGGCGAATGCAGGTGGCCACATTCGTCGCGTGCATGGCCACCATTTGAAGCTGTACCTCAAGAGCGATGTGGATCCGCTCTTGAAGGCACCTGATCCTACACTTCCCTGAGCATCCATACTGGCGTCCAGCTAAAAGACGGTAAAGAAGCGCTTGTG